GGTTGAATTCCACTAGTGGGATTCGATTGTACAAACATGTGATGCGATTTAGGTACCTTGTACATAGCACTGAAGAGCCGACACACCATCCGTTCAACCATCTTCACGCACCAGATGCCATCGACTTCGCGATATCTAAAAACTGTAGATAAAGTATCCCTTATCGAATCTTGTATATCTCTAGTGACCATCTACCTGTTGTCTTGGACGTGGGCAATGAGCAAACTTCTGAGGAGGAAGCTGTACACATGTAACCAGAGGGTTCACCCTCAGCATGAGTACTGGCATCTTGCTTTTGGATGTCTGAAAAGCCTTTGACAAGGTGTGGCACGCGGGCCTCCTCTACAAACTAATCCAAAAGGGTTTTACTTTTTGTCTTCTAAAATTACTGAAATCCTTTCTTGAAGGAAGGAAGTTTCGGATCAAAATTAATAATGTTTTGTAAACAACATGGCCAGTACGGGCCGGTGTTCCTCAGGGTACGGTCCTAGGACCAATCCTATATTCGCTTTTATCCATGATGTCTCTTGCCCCAGCAACTGTGAAGTCTACCTATTTGCTAACGACACTGCATTTGTCGCCCAGTCGTGTACTGGTGCACGATGGGTTTCAGAGTGCGGTGGAAGAAGTACTAGAGTGGGCGGAACGGTGGCTGATTAAAATTAATCATTCGAAAACGCAGGCTATTTATTGTACCAAAAAATGTCGCGGCCCCCCAGCAGAGGTAACTGTAGACGGCAATCGTGTACCATGGACAAATTCTGCCAAGTACCTCGGTGTCACCCTTGATAAAGGCATGACCTGGCAGAAACATACAGCTGCCTTGAAAACAAAATTCCAAATTGTGTTTCGGCAACTATATCCTTTGTGATGTACATCCTCCAAATTGAGTTTTACAGGTATAAACAAAGTTCGCCTATATAAAATGATTATTAGACCAGCCATTACTTATGCATGTGTGGCTTGGTGTTTTCTTGCCAAGGCACATATGCAAAGTCTTCAAGTACTGTAAAGTAGAACTTTGCGAACAATTTGCAACGCTCCATGGTATGTCTCAAACGAGACACTACACAGAGACCTTGACATTCCTTACTTGAGGGATTATGCCAAACTTCAGGCGCAGCGACGTTATAGTCATGCGGAATCGCACAGCAACCCTCTATTGCGTGACTCAGTGGACTACACAGTGGAGCAAGTTCGTAAACATTCAAGGCCACGGCTCGCACTGTAATAAAAAATTAGCGCGAACTTTTAATACACTTAAAATCACACTCTAACAAAATTGAATCAAAAATATGTTTAGTTCACCTCAAAATTAAACCGTGTACAAAGTCAAAAAGCCTAGGTGTCTCCTCTTAAACTAAACACTTCTATTTTTCTTTGCTCTTCTCCATTTTTCTTCTATTTCCCTTTCTCTTTTGCCTTGACATTGTCTGGTTTCTGGGCAACCAGTACTGACAGATTCGACTAACGTACACTAGACAGTGACTAATGGGCAAAGGTCCGCCCAGACAAACAAATGACGAATAATAGTGGTCCTCTTTTGTCATTACTGAACTAAATCGTGTAATACTCTGCGTAGGACCACGTAAGTTAAATACGAGTAGATATGTGATAATTTACAGGTTTAGAGAATAACTGCTGTCTTCATAAAGTTATAAACCACACTTCCTAGGTGCTCTTCGCTTTATGAACTCAAAACCAGTAAGATATAATATCAGGTAACCTAATAAGTTCGTGCGGTTTTTAGTAGAAAAATATAAATTTTTATTGAGAAACAATAAGACATAATTTATTCGTCGAGATAATTACCATCACATTCAATGATCTTTTGCCAACGTGGAACCAATTTTTGTATGCCGGTATTGTATAACTCCATGGATTTGGAGTAAAAAAATTGGCGGACTGCATTTATTACACCATCTCGATTTGTGAACTCTCGGTGCGTCATACAGTTTTCAAGAGACAAAAAAAAGGTGATAATCACTTTGCGAAATTTCGGGAGAATATGGCGGGTGCGGTAACGTGTTCCAGCCGAGTTCAGAAATTTTTTCGCGGGTCCCTTTTGCGGTATGAGGCTTGGCGTTATCCTGCAAGAATATCACTTTCTTCCGATTGATCAAAGAAGGCTGTTTCTGGAGTGCTGCTTGTACTCGTTGAAGCTGTTCACAATACAAGTTAGCAGTGATGGTTTGACCCCTTTCCAAAAACTCATAAAGGACAATTCCAGTTGCTGTCCACCAAACACACAACAAAACCTTGTTTGGGTGCAAGGAAGCCTTGGGCGTGTGTGGTCCTGAATCAGTAGGCGACAACCAATGATCCGAACCCTTAGAGTTCGAATACCAGATCCATTTTTCATTGCAAGTTAATAACCGATTAAGAAATGGTTCATTAGCGTTGCGAGAAATGTTTGCTGAACAAATTGTAAGACGAATTAATTTGTTATCATTTGTCAGTTCATGTAGGACCCATTTGCTCAACTTCCACGTCTCTCCTAGCTGATGAAGATGGAAACGAATAGTTTCAGGACTCACTCTGAACATTTCTGCATGTTCTTGGCACGTTGTCCTGGAATTTGCGTCCGCAACTTGTCGAAAATCCTCGTTGTTCATGATTTTTGGTCTACCTGAGCGCGGTTCATCGCTCAAACCGAGATCTCCCGAAGAAAATTTTTTGAACCACTTCTGTGCTGTTCGATCACTAACGGCATTATCTCCGAATGCGGTACATATTTTTCGCGCCGCCGCTGCAGCTTTTGTACCAAGTTTGTACTCATACAGTAAACAACTTCGAATTACTGTTTTATTCGTCGCCAGTTTAAATTATTAAAACTAGGTATGTAACAATTTTCAGCCACTTTTTATGTGTGTGCGAAAAGAAAGATTCATACTAAAGTGACGACAGGTAACAAACAATCGCTATCGATCAACATCCATGGCAATGTGCGATATACAGCAACCGCACGAACTTATTTGGTTACCTGATATAGCATAGCTATTTAAGTTTCAGGTCTCTAAGCGGAATAGTACACGGTTTAGTAACAACACATTGTGAATTCCAATTTTTTAACCTCAAATTGCTTATTTGACCGATCATGGGTCTATTTGACATGGTCGCCACTCATCCAAGCCTTAACTTGCTTCCAACACTTCTTCCATATGTAGCCCTCCTAAAAGGTTTTCCACACTGCTGATCCGACTAAATCACTTCAAACAAAATAGAAGCACGATGGAAAAGTACTGTTATTGGATGATCAACGATTTTTAAGGATACCGGCGAAACGTTATCTGAAGTACCACAATACGACCCACAAGTCGAGATAGGGTTGAAGAGTTACTTCAGGTGGGAACAACAATTAAGGAATAAATTTCCCTTACAAATTTTATTCAGACATAACATATATACATATACTTTTTTTGCTATCGTGATAAAAAATAAAATTTAAATTCCACTGTAAACTCACAGCCTGATCCTATATGTATTGAGAATCAACTCGAATATTGACGTCCTTGGTTTATAACACTAATGCAGTTGGTGGCATTAAAATTTGCATTAAGAGGTACGACATCCGCTATCGATTCTTAAAAAAACTTGTTGTAACATATTTTATTTCTTTCGGCAAATTTACAAAACATTATACATCTTGTCACAGCAGTAAATAAAATTATGCAAGGCAAAAGCCACCAAAACATTATACAGTGTAAAAATATGAATCTTAAACAAAACAAAAAGGTTCGTTATTCTTCCAGTTTCTTGAGTGCTTGATCTAGATCAGCTATGAGATCTTCGGGATCCTCTAATCCAACAGATAATCTAATGAGACTGTCTGAAATTCCGAGTTGTTTCCTCAAATCTGATGGGACTGAAGCATGCGTCATTAGGGATCTAGGATTCAAAATAAAACAATAAAGTGAATTTTACGTGCTTTCAAATTCTTTTCGAAAAATATGTTGAATTCATGTTTCAGGTACTACTGCAATCATTGATTATTATTTTTTACTTCTAACTACGTACGAAAATTAAAGGACAAAAATTAGTACAGCAGTCGGCAACCTATCGGTGACTGTGGCTAACATTCGGCCGCACGAATTCCGTCACCGGCAAGCTACCCACCACTGTGCGAACAAGTCATATATGAAAAAATGAGATAACACCGCCGTTAAAATGCACTAAAATACTACAATTTATTTCCGGCAGTTTTTCTAAAAAAAATGTTGATTATGGGTCGTTTCCAAATTGCGTATATCTATGTACTTTAAACATAAATGATATCCAATGAAATCTGTAGTATTATGTAAAGCTGTTTCCTCGAGGTCACTAACTGACGAACTTCATGCATTTCTAGTCTAGCAATTCCTCGGGCGCCAGACTCCAATATTGAAGTATGGAGACAACACTATAGTCTGGAACAATTGCCCGAAACAGCTTCACCGAAGAGAAGAATTCCGGGATTTTATGCTTGACGCTGAAAGGGTTAGACTCGAGATTCCCTTTTTCATAGGACTCCATTCTCTGGCCGAATCAAACAACATATATGTTCTTATTTTCTCTTTATCTTACGGCAAATGCTTTCCTAGACTGAAAATGTTATACATACAGTATAGTAGTTATAAAAAAGTAATTTTCGAAAAAAAGAGCTACTTTGGTAGACTGCGTTTTAATCATACTGTATGTAATACATTTAAAGAAATGACTCAAATAGTAAAATATTTTTAAAAAGGCATATTATAACATGCAATTAATGCGCGCATCACAAAATACTCATAGATATGGAAGAAAGTTGAGGATGTAGATGTAGCAAAACATAATATTCGAAAAAGCTTTTTTTCGAAAATACTTTTTCTAACATACTGTATAATATTTTTTAAATTTGAGAGAACCTTTGTTACTTATCTTTCAAGAGCTATAATATTAAAGAGTGTCATAAAAATTCGTTTGTTTCTAAAGATATAAGCAATTTAAAACGAACCGTATTGCTCGTAATTGATTTACTGATTGGGAATTGGTATCAGAAAAATACACCACTTTTATCTAAACATTTTTTCATGAAGAATTGAACTGGTTGAATTTTAGTGCATTTGAATCACCGTATATTAATGTTCTTTTCCATACACTTGCATCCGTCCTTTAATTTTGGCACCTGATTTCAATGACTAAAACTGGCTCTAAACAATGGCAATGGAGCAGTGGTATATGATTTCTGGACTGAGGAAAATACAACTGGCAACGTGGCCTTTAGTGATAATGTGTTGATAGACGTAACCTAGAGATGATGTTGACATCTGTCACCTACTGGAATGCCGAACGCCCAGCTAGTTAGGGCATCGACAGTACTAGTGTAGATTCGATAACCCCCGTTACATTTTTGGCTTTTTACATAACCTCTCTTACAGTTCTATTTTCATCGATATAGGAGTATGAAACTTGCGCTCCAGCATCATTCAACACGGCAATTTGATAGTTTGAAACCTATTAACCATATATAGTCATATCATGTATCACATGTATCCGATTCTAATACTTACGGTAATTCAATCAAACTTTCGTATCCCCCTAAGCTTTCAGCTAACGTAAATACTTTCACAGCCTTTAAAAATGTTCTGGATTCTTCCAAGCCACCCTTTAAATACATTGAGAAGGTGCCACTGTGACCACTTGCCTGTTTCTTGAACAGCTCATATTGGGGATGGGAAGGCAGTCCTACAATATTATACGAGGTGATTAAAATAACAGTCGCACTATTTCTAGAGCTGATAATATACCCAAAAATAATACAGAAAATTTCAATAAACGTGGGCCTTAAAATGATCCATTACCGAAATACAGTTGACGTTGACGTCGGCTGTGGTAGTAGTAATATTGTAATGACAATATGAGGACCGAACTAACCATTTTTTAATTGCTAAATGCTAGTGACGTACACAAATTGTTTTTTCTTATGCTCTGAATAGACTAGAGTTGTTCAGCTTTCGTTCGATGTCCACCGCACATAAAAGGATTAGGTTCTACAGATTTCGATTTTTTTACGATTTAATACGCCACACTGTATTTGATCGCACTTAGAGTCGTTTTTTATATTAAATAACCACATTAAAATATAGTCCACATTGGTAGAACCAACAAATTCAGACTAGATAGAAGGAGCAAGTCTAAGATTTGTTTGTCTCCAAAATCTCAGTCAGTAGTCAAGATGTAAGTCCATGCTACAAGTGGACTTGACAAGTTAAATTTATAACAGTTGTGTCAAGAGTCAGCAGATAATTGTGGTTTTAGACGATTTCAGGACATGACACCTCTTGCAAACTTGGAAAGAGTGTGCAAGCCTATTGATGGTAGATCTTTCCATCAGTATATTTATAGGTTAATATAAAGTTCTCACTTTGGTAGGTAACGATAGTCAAATCACTCAAACGTATGCACTGAAACTACGCAATTTTGGCGATAAACAATGCAATGTAAACATATAGGCTTAATCTATTCGAATTCGTTGAGTAAACTGTAAGTGTAAATAAATAAGATTTGTTACATTTGGAATGCTTGTTTATGTTAGGTTTTCCTTTACTATACTCATACAATTTGATCACATCAACTCTGTCAACGACATAAGAAAGAAAACTATATAAATGCTAAGGAAAGGGTTGCGCGTAAACAAAAAAAAGTAATATACAGTTCCTCATTGATCACTTAACAAAATTGAAGTAACAGTGACAACACGCTGCATACATTGTATGCTTTATATATTCTGCAGACTGATTGTATATTTTATTATTTTGTAGTTATAAAAATAAATAATACAATTTATTGTTCACCATGTTTTACTCAATTCAACAATTTTCTAATAAATGTACTATCAGGGAAGCCACAACTTCGATGAATCAACTGCAACACAGTGAATCGAGAATTGAAAGAATTACATATAAGACTATTTGCTTCATTTTTTTTAAAACTAGGTTCCGCGAATACACATTGACAATGCAACATACATGTATTAATTATTGTTTGTAATTAAAACAAATCAATCTTACTGGTATGACAAAAGTCATTATTTACGATTAGTGTGATGAGTATGAGTATGTCGATATAATACAAAGATGTCATTCGTGGCTTCATCTCATGACGACGTTTTATAGCCAATCGAGATGATATCTCGATCGTCCTATATTCATCGTGACTTTTTGTATTACTTTTGGATGAACTCTCAGCTCTAGTTATATTGTCACAGGGTTTTCAAATAACCACAGCACAATTTGTTTCTAAAGTATTTAAATTGCGGTATAAGTAATAATTATTGATTGGTAAAATACTGTAATGCAACAACGCAACTCATGTGCTTTACATATATGGTATATATCCTAAAAATCGCCAAAAACTTGCGTCTAGATTTTTCATGAAATGAAAGCGTAGATAATACAATGATATATATTACATCAACCGCATGACAGAGTTAATCGATATGTTTCCTTGTTTCGTATTATACAGGGTGCGGCAGAGAGGACGGACGTTTTTGGGATGGGTAGTACTCTCCGCCTCCGTCTACGAGAGAGGTGGGGAGGGTGCCGTTTGACTCGTGAGATCCTAGCATTATTTTACCAGTTGTCGTTATGGAGCCTTGGACGGTGGAGCACCGCGTTTTCGCCTATGAGTGACGAAGTCCACTTTCACCTAAACAGCGTGGTTAACCAGCAGAATTGTCGTTATTGGGCTAATGAAAATCCGCAACAGTTACACGAAAGACCGCTGCGCAGCCCAAAAGTAACGGTTTGGTGCGCTGTATCGCAAACTTGCATCATTGGCCCTTACTTCTCCGAAGACGGTAATGTTCGTGATGTTACCGTGAACTCAAAGCGCTACGTCGACATGATCACCAACTTCTTTCTCCCTGAATTACGACGGCGACGTGTTCCAATCCGACGTGTGTGGTTCCAGCAGGATGGGGCGACCGCCCGCACAGCCCGAGCATCCATGGACGTTATTCGCCCTCTCTTCCCTGGTCGCCTTATTTCCAGGTTTGGCGATGTTCATTGGCCTCCTCGGTCCCCAGATTCATCCATTTGCGATTTTTTCGTATGAGGACACCTCAATGCTAGAGTATACGCGAACAAGCCCCGAAGTCTGGACGAATTGAAGGGCGAAATTCGCGTGGAAGTAGCCCAAGTTGAGAGAGCGATGTTGGAGAGACTCTACGCGAACTTCCAAGAACGCCTACAGCACTGCATCAACGATTTCGGCCACCACATGCCTGATGTGGTTTTCCACACTTGACTGTCTCAAATGACATTTCCTTGTGAACCTGATTCCATCAATAAATTTGTTTTCGAGTAAAAATTAACTATTTTATGATTTTTTTAAAACCGTCCATCCTCTCTGCCGCACCCTGTATATATAAGCACATAAGCATTTGGACCCTACTTTAGTGATATTGAAAAAAATTTGAATTGGTTAAATGTCAATAAACTTAAATTAAACACTAATAAAACAAAATGTATATCAATAGGGAAACATTTAGGTGACAATACAATTATTAGGCTCGTTATTAATGATGAAAAAATTGAAGTAGTCGAGTCATTTAAATATCTTGGTATATATTATATAACATTATGAATACATTATTTCAAAAATATCGAAAAAGATAAATTACTTCTATAGAGTTTTCCATAATCTTAGTATGTATTCCAAAAAAAATGTGTATAACACTATAATTCTTCCCCATTTTTTATATTGTTCAACCATCTTGTTTACCGCAAAATTACAAATTCTACAAAATAAAGCTGTGAGAATTATTTTAAATAAAAACAAATATACTAGGATTAAGTCTATGTTAGAAGAACTGCAGTGGTTGGATGTGGAAAATTTCATATATTATTTAGTTCTCGTTTTCATATTCAAATAAAAAAATCATTTATTACCACCACATTTAGAGAACCTCACAAAATTAAATAGTCATTATCATAACAACGAAACTAGAGGCAGTATAGGTTTTCATCTGCAAAATTGTAATAGTAGCATAACTAGTACATCTATATTTCAAAAGGGAGTATTTGAATTTAATGAATTGAATAAGCATATTAAACAAAGTTCGATTTTAAAAATGTTTAAGGTGAAATTAAAAAATCGCTTTACGAATAATCAAAATACATAGTGACGTAATTTTAATTTTAATAGAAAAGAATGTAAAATTACAGAAAATGGATTGAAGAAAAATATGTAACCGAATCATTATACAACATTGATATTGTAGCACTAATGCTGAATAAATCTTCAACAACAAAAAAAAAATAATTGCATAACTTACCTGGGTGTAATACTTTTTCCACTTTGGAATGACGTTCCAAAAATTCACCAACTAATCGACAATTTTCGTTATGTTTTTGCATCCTCAAAGCTAGAGTTTTTAAGCCCCTATTCACTTGATAACAGTCGAAGGGAGCTGGTATTATGCCCATTGCTGCAAAATGTTAGTGATACAATAGCTATGGAAAAGTAACAATTTCATATTATCTTTTTAAGGAAAATACCGATTCAGCCATTATGTAATGAATGGCTGTTTTTCATTCATAGAAATTCACTCATAAAATAGGTACTTAATATCATGTGACTATACTTGGATATCGAGCGAATCACCGAGAGAAGTGAAATACAACTACACATTTATTAGCTAAAATCTTGGCAGCTTTTAATGGGACACAATTAGTCGATTGCTGGTATTAGGAATTTGGGATATAGCCTTACCATTTTGTAGAAATTTCAATTTCTGATAAATCTCTTCATTGTTCGTAGCGATGGATCCCATAATAACATCACCATGTCCGTTCATGTACTTTGAAATGGAGTAAATTGTTAAATCAGCTCCTAAATCCAAAGGTCTTTGTAGGTATGGGGTTAAAAAGGTGTTGTCAACGACAAGGAGGATATTATGCCTTTTAGCTATCGCTGCAGCAGCTTTTATATCTACCACCTTCATAGTAGGATTTGTAGGAGATTCCAACCAAACTAACTGAAAAAAATTAAATTCTAACTTGAATACCAGATGTCCCTATGAGTATTATTACTGAATTTATATGTTCGCCTAAAAGCAGATTATCTTGAAGCGTTTTTCTAACGTCTAACGGAAGCCCAAGCCACAGAAGTAGTAGAATCATAGAGACAGTACCTGGAAACACTACATTACAGTTTTCGCACGAAATTTTTCGTTTCAATTTTAGAGTGCAAGTTTTACCTGTTCTAGTTGATATAAAAAAGTAAAAGTACTCTGAATGTACTGTTTGCAGGGAAAATATTTAAATTCCATCGAAATAAATTTTAAAAAATACGCCATTACATGAATAAGGACTAGGTTAATTGCCTCAGTTAAACCGGCTCAGAGGAACGGTTGAACGCAATAAATTAAAGATTTTGTAGAAGTTAGAATATTGTTCAATCGTGCGAATATCCTATATCCCCATTCCAATACATAAGAACATTGGAACAAGTTCACAATTCCTGCATTCTTGGGGCTTTTGAAAAATGAAGTCGTTTGACTCACGCATCTCAGGTTTTTGAAACGTTAATTGGTCCTTGTGTAATAATAACATTTCATCTAAATCTGACTGGGTCTTTCGGACTGTAGTTTTCTCGTGAACGTCCCATGCAACATTGAAAAACAAGATATATTGAATTCAGAACATTTGCAATATCAATAGTCCCCTTGATTATCCAAGAGGAGCTAGAAAAATGACTAAAACCTAGGAAGAATGACAAAATTTTACAGAACCATAGTGCAAAACACGCAAAAAAACTTTTATTTGTTTTGGTAAAAGCAAATGTATGGAAAATATGACTGAGCTTAATAATAGAACGTCTTTGACTAACACCAAAGACTTGACAATCCCAACAAAAACGAGCCTCTGACGCATCAAAAAATGAAGTTCGAGCGATTTCATTTTTCTGTTTTTCCTATAGCTCTGCCGCCATCGGATCGATTTCCAATACCAATAAAGCCATCCTTGAGATATCAGTATCCTTATGACAAACAGATCAATGGAAGTACATGATACAGTTTTTCGTAATGTATGTATATGTTATCTATCATCCAAAAAACATAAAATTCTACATGAAGACAAATTGTGGCGTATAACATTCCTGTGAAAAGTATCAGTGGTCCTGGCCCAGTTTTATTTGTTTCTAACACATGCCTTGCCTAATATCAGGTTCATATTAGTCAATACTCAGAATAGACCTCGTCCCTCAGAAGTTTCTTTGTTACTAAATCAGATTTAGCCAATTATTTCCACTATCACACGACTCTATCACGTAGAAATGAAAACGTAATGCTCAATATGGCTGAACTTAAAAAAAGGTCAATTGTACGGTGATCATTTTTTACAAAACAAAAAAAAACTCGCAGTTTCATCTTGAAATTGGCTGAGCTTTGGATATATTGTTATAGGACCAACTTTGTTGACAATGACCACAAGTTTCTTGATCATTTGGGCACATTAGCTACCAGATAACAAGCTCGAAGTCACTGCATTGTTATACCGGACAATTACTTGAAAGCTTGGAATTTCTTAAGAATTTACAACAGTTCTTTTATCTATTACACATTTTTGGAAATCTAAAAAGACGAAGATGTTTTTGAAACCGCATGAAGCAAAAATTAAGGAGCATTTTTTGAGAGAAATATGGGTGAAGTTGAAAATACACGATAAGCGAATGCCACACGATCAGTGTTTACTAATTATTCCGTCATAGAAATGTGACTTCTACGTATCCTTATGCATCAATAATTACTGACATTTATTCAAGGGCGGATTTAGAAATCTGTTTGGGGGGACTGCGGTGGTTGCAGCATTGATGTTTGGGAAGATGGTTGTCTCCTGGTGGGGGTTGTACAGCGTAGATTATAAATTGAATTTGGTGGACACGACATAATAAATATCATATTCCATGGTAAATGCTGATGATGAAACATATTTATCTATGTACTGTTTCGACCTGTATGTAGTTATACCAATGATTAGGGGTGATTATTATCAACTGATATGCCTACTGCCCAGAATACTCTCCACGATTTTATCTGTAACCGTAAGTATCTATACTATCTTATCACCGATCTAATAGAATCAGAATTTATGTTTCTCCAGGCGAACAATGCAGTTTTAATAAATATAACAGTGACATGATGGTCAATGTTTGTATGGATTTAACAATTAACACTCAACAACATTTCAAACGTTTTTAACATGTCGTGCAATAAAAAGGCATGATGGGATTGATAATGAAACTCAGAAATAGCGTTAGATAAAAAATTAGTCATAATACTAGCATAAAACATTTACTTGTTAACTTACATCAGAAGAGTTAAGCTAGAGTAGCTGTTCTAGCTAGACTTTACAATTTGTAATTATTAACTATTAACTGGAATAAAACATGGAAACTTACCTTTGTATTGGGTTCAATAGACTTCTCTAAATTCGATATATCCGTCAGATCCGTGAAAGTCATTTTAATATTAAACCTGGCCATGACTTGGTTGAGCAATCTGTTGGTACCTCCATAAATATCATCTCCGATAACAATATGATCTCCACTGCTCAGCATACCCAACAGAGCTGTAGTGGCGCCTAATCCACTAGAGAATGCCAGAGCATATTTCGCATTGTCTAACTTTGCAAGAACTGCTTGCAAAACGTCTCTTGTTGGATTTCCTGATCTACTATAGTCATATTTCTAAGGAATAGAAAAAAATGATAATACATTACTATAAGGGACCGTTCTCATGTATTTAAATACATGCGTTCTCACCAAAGTGATAGGAATTGACTAGTTGCTCAAATGTCGCTAGTCGATTTTGAGTTGCCCACCAGCAACACTTCATCTAACGTTCCAGTCCTATCCTCAAAAGATCATTGATAATCCGACATAGGTACTTCTTCATCGCATTTTTGTTTCTTTGGAGTGATTCAGTTAATGCAGCAGCAAGAAATATGATAAAATAATAGTGTACGAATGATCAGACTCAATAGAAATGTATTTCGTTTCGCATATTGCTCATTACACATTTTATTTGTTATGTATTAACAGCTTTTGGTGAATAAAAAATATCACATATTATGTTGATTAACTGATCTGGCCAAAGTAATCTTGGAATACTCTAAAGAACCACCCCATGACGTTCGCCACTGCAACGTTTTTTTCATATCACTATGGAAGTTAATATAGAAAAATGGCTTAAATGCCATAATACGACGGATAAGTTAAAACGGCGCTGTTGGATTCAGCTATGGGTTTGGCATTAACTTATTACAGTTAAATAAGTCTACTCGTTTTCCTGAATGTCAAAATCAGTTGCAGCGTAATATCAATATCGCTGTTACTGACAGCATCGTGCGAGTTTTATAAACCCGCAGCATTGTTTAGTTTTTTAGAAGAATGTAATTGTAGCAATCATGCTAAATAAATCTTAAACAAACAAATCTAGGAAATCCCGCCATAGGTCAATTTTTGAAGTTTGTGCGTGAGGAACTTGCGACACTTTTATTCAATTTACCAGGTAAATATTTTCCGCAACATTGACGCGAAATACTTTTTATATCCTTTATACAAAGTATTTGGAAAAGTAATTGTAGTTTGTAATGAAGTTTTAACCTAGTCTATATTTAACAAACGACAAAAAACGATTTTAATTAATGGCATACTAAAGGCTTTAAATATGTGTATATAACATAACCCTAAACAATTTATAAGTTATATGCTCGTAATAGATTATTTTCCTAAAATGTAGATTTTTCATATACTAAGTGACATATAAATCCGAACACCCACTTTAAATGGTTTTATTTTAATAAAAGTTGGTGAATGTATTTATCTTACTGTAAATAACAAGTGAAAAAATTTTCAGCCTTATCAGTTGGATATTCCGGTTTTTATACTGCTTTTTTTTAATTCACTAACGCTCGAAAAATGAATATTTCAGCCGCAGTAAAGAATCAACGTTGGCGGATTTTGGTTCTTGAGATCCGTTAGGATGCCTAGAGTACGAAGACCTGTACGATTTCGTCAACTTAGTGAGTTTGATAGGGGCCGTATAGTGGGACTTCGGGAAGCTGGACTTTCTTTTCGGGCAATTGCAGTTAGAGTGCAAAGAAGTGTAGACACTGTGGTTAGGTGTTGTCAGGCATGGCTTCGAGAAGGCCGTACGCAAAGAGCAAGGGGCACTGGACGCCGCCGTAGAACAACAGACCGTGAAGATCGCCGCCTAAGATTTTATTGGCCTTAAGGGACCGTTTCTCCACTACCAGGTCCATTGCAAATGAATGGTTTGCAGAACACGGAAGACCTATTGGCATGCGAAGTGTTTACCGACGAATGAGAAGTTTTGGCTTGTTTTCATACCGGCCACACTGGGTCCTCCCTCTAACTCGAGAACACCGACGTAATCGCCTTGAGTGGTGCAGACAACGGTCACTCTGGGATCAGGAATGGAACAGTATTGTCTTTAGTGACGAGTCTCGATTTTGTTTGGGCATGCACGATGGTCGTGCCAGGGTTAGAAGGCGACGTGGTGAAAGGAGGAATCCACAGTTTTTTGTTGAAAGACATGTTCATCACACTGTTGGAATTATGGTTTGGGGTGCTATAGCTTATGGTTCCAGGTCACCTTTAATCTTCATCAGAGGTAACATGAACGCGCAGCGTTATATCCACGAAGTTCTAGAACCCCATCTTTTACCCTATCTTGACACCCTGGCAGATCCAACTTTCCAACAAGATAATGCCCGACCACATGTTGTAAGAGTCACAATAGACTTCTTTCAACATAATGATGTCACATTGTTACCATGGCCACCAAGATCTCCCGACTTATCCCCAATTGAGCACGTGTGGGATATGATGGGTAGGAGATTGCTCAATTTGCAACGTCCTCCTCAGACTCTAGAAGCACTTCGAGAGGAGTTGGTGGCTGCCTGGAATGAGATACCACAGGAGGACATTGACCACCTGATCAGAAGCATGCCTAGGCGCGTTGGAGAATGCGTAGCACATCAGGGTGCATCCACACATTATTAAAGGTCAAAGGGCTTTAAAGCAGTGCAATCATTTTGAAATTTTTATCATTTACTTATTATGCTTCATTAAGTACTTATACAAAATTTTATTAAAATAAAACCATTTAAACTGGGTGTTCGTATTTATATGTCACTTAGTATATGTAGTGAGTTAGTTCATTTTTTCAAAAAGCCGTCCAATTGGCACATGTTTCTGTAACGTGCGTGTATATCTAGAAACAATTTTACATTAAAAATAAACACCGACATGCTGATCTTGGAGCATTAAACATTTCTGCGCAGTTTGAAGAAAATCGACAGTCTAGTTGATGATATTTCCTGTTCGAAGTTTGACATTTGAGCGTTGGTACCAAAATTTAGCATTACAACGTTACTGCAAAATCAGAATCTACATTAAGTTTTCGAAATAGCTGATAAATATAGTTTCAGTCATATTCAATTATTCAGTATGGAAACACAATACGTAAGCTCTAGAATTACTATCAACAGTGGAAAGTAAGTGGTCTTTATGCTCCTTATAAAGATAAGACATCGAATATTATATATTATTGGAATATTACCTCATATTCGGCTGGCCCGTTCTGTTTGAAAGTAGTGCTTGTAACAATAGGTGGTATCACAGCCATGCTATTCCAGTTTTCTGGATCATGGGCATGATGTATTGCAGCTGTTGCAAATCCCTTGGGGTACGGCAAAAATCCATCTTGGGCCATACTGGTTAATGCTGAGTGTCGTAGTAACTGTTAAATAAAATGAAAATGAATCAACACTTATTGCGGCAATCAATTATCAGCGTTGATGTAGCAACAGCACTGAGACAGTTTGTTGTTTTGATATAAGTGAGGTATAACTTATGAGATAATAATTGTGGACAATGACATACATAAAATGTAATCCATATCTGGAATGAGCTGGTTCAAGCTCCACATCATATATACTTCCCACGCCCCCTTACTGGCTTTGCAGTTTTTGAAAATTGGTCCAGTGGTGGCAGAGAAAAAGATCAAAACCGGAAAAGAATGATGTCGCTCAAACTTCATTTTTGACGTTTCAGAGGATACTGATCATTTTTGAAAAAAAATTAGAGGTAAAAAGGTAAAGGGTGGGGTCTGTAGGGGAGGGGTGGGGAGAGTTTATCTCAATTTTTTTATGCCAGTACATTTATTCGCTCCTAATCTTTGTAATTCTACGCACCTATTATGCTTATTTCACACATCATAGACTTCTCCCTACATTGGCCTTTAAAACTTCTACCGCCGGTCTTGGTAGTTTTATGTTGTTCCGGTATGGTACAGGTATTTCTGCCGCGCCACAGCCACAGTGTTTCCCATGCTCTGCCACGTTTGACCGGAGAGTGACGACGTTTCCAGATGCACTACCGGTAGTGCAGAGAAAAGAATATCTGGGGACTAACTGTTTGGACCTGTTTGTACTTGACGCCATTTTTTTTTAATTGTACGTATTTTATTTCCATCAACTAAGATACTCTGTAGGTCCTATTAGCAAAATTTATGTGACATTTGTTGTAAATTTAATGTCGATTATTAATGTAGAAGGAATTATTGTATACATAATATTAATAGTTTACTAGATGCTTGCAAAAAGCTCAAAAAAGGACCAATCTCACTTTTCCATCATCGTCCGGCTCACCTCCCACAGTGGAGAACTTTTATTATGTCCATCTGGATACCTCAAGGAATAGGTCTACCAACTTTCAAAACTATGCGAATCATTTGATCTGATCGATGTTTAAGCTAATTTTATAAGACTACGAATTTTTTTTGGTAAAACTATGAGCTATCAGTCTAAATGCTCTACAAAAGAGCTGTAGGGGATAAAAACACCTTCAAAATGAGACCTTATTTGATGAGTTTGCTGCAACTGTTAATTTGAATATTAGTATGGTAATGCAATGCTGTTTATTGTGGAAAAAGCTTAATTCATCGTTTTTGAGATATACTATATAATTGACAACCTTCAAAGTGCCAAATGTCAGAGGAGGTTGCATGCAGCAATTTGTGTAAAGTACATTTGTTATTTTTGGTTAAATTCTAGAGCCACTGATAAAACAAAGGTAAAGAATAGATTTATATTCAGTGCTTTTCAAAAAGGTTCTGCGTACCAATTTCTTTTAGGTTAGCAAGCCGAAATTCGGTTGAAATTTATACATGAATATATTTTATAAGAGGCAATTGAAAATTTCAAGATGGCGACTGGGCATCCTTTTGGAACATTTTGCACACACTAGTGTGTCATGCCCTGGTATGGACAAACACAAATTATTTAAAAAAAAACTAATACCTCCATAGCTGGCATTGAAAATGATAGTCATCACATGTTTATCCTATTAAACACCAATGATTCAGTTTTTAGGAAGACTATTCAAAGGACATTCATTGACTATAAAAAGGTTGTTTTAGCACATGGACACCTGAGCCGTAGACTAATGTTATTTGAATGCAAGATGTATGCATTGGTAGATATGACAGATATGAAACGTGTTTTGGAAGCTGCAACATCATCCAGGTTTTTACTTAATCTAAAATGTTTCTATCAGGTACATGAAATATTACTGTTTTCAATACTGGCCTTAAATAACTGTTGCTGTTCTTTATTTGATAAGTTGAGACCATCTATAAGAAGGTTACTTTTTAGACATTTGAAGTCAATCTATATCATAATATACTGAGTAACAAAACAATTCTTTGGAATCTGACCGGAAGGACATTCTGGGGCTTCGCCTCAACTCCAAAACATCACCCAAGTTTATTTGCTGCCTTTATCGCTCTCCCTCGGACCATAACAGGAATGACCTACTCGAATACCTCGCCGTCCAGATCGACTTCCTGAACATCAATCATCCCGCTTCAGAGGTAGTTATTCTCGGTGATTTCAATGCCCATAACGAGCTTTGGTTGGGCTCAAACAAGACCGACGCAGCAGGTCGTGCAGTCGAAGCGTTGGCTCTTACCCAGCTCGTCACCAGCTTACTCAGCTGGTGACGAGTCCTACTTTTTTCCCCGCGTCTTGTCACACGCCAGTAGCCTGCTGGATCTCTTTCTGATCACGCATCCTGCCCCTTACAGCACTGCTGTCCTGTCCCCCCTGGGTAACTCAGACCACGGTGTTGTGGAGGTTAGGTTTCGGTCAGAACCCGCTGTGGCAGCAGAAACTCGTACAGGCCGCAAAACTTGGCATTACGGACATGCCGACTGGGAGGGGCTCAGAGATTTCTTCTCTAGCTTTCCTTGGAAAGATGTCTGTTTCACTGACGCGGATGCGTCGGCTGTCTGTTCTTCGATAACCGAAATTATCCACGTCGGAATGGAGCAATACATCCCTCACCCAGTGAACGTGCCTAGACCAGGGTCCAACGGCTAGTTTAAAAAATCGTGTGACGCTGCTCGCCAGCAGAAGATCAAGGCACACAGAACCTTCTTACAAAATCCCACTGTAGAGAACAGACAAGCCGACGTTGAGTCCAGAAACAAATATAACGAAGCGGTTCGCAATGCCAAAAACCAGCATGATATAAAAGTTAGGCACAGGGTAATGTCGCAGCGCAATGGCAGTAGGTCTTTCTGGACGCTGGCCAAGCAGATTGAAAAGAACTTCTCACACAGTAGCCTTCCACCACTTATATGTCAGGATGGAACTATTGTATTCAACTCAAAGGCCAAGGCGGAAGTGCTAACCAAGATCTTTGCTGCCAACTCGACCATGGACGTCCCCCCCAACGCCCAAGTGTCGTCAATTCAAAGGGTTCCCTACACTATGCGGGAGGTAACATTCAGGCATAAGACCGTAAGACGAGTGCTCTTGTGGCTCGACATCAACAAAGCTTGTAGTCCGGACTTGATTCCTGCCATTGTACTGAAGAGGTGTGCACCGGAGCTTGCTCCAGTTCTTTCGCGTCTCTTCCAGATATCTTATGAATCCGGCACCTTCCCAGAAAACTGGAAATTTGCTCATGTCCAACCCATAACCCATCCCAAAAAAGGGATCTAAGACCGACTCTTACAACTACAGACCTATAGCTCTGCTTTCTGTTTTAAGTAAGGTGATGGAGAGGTGCATAAATCGCGAGCTTCTGGACTACCTCGAACGTCACGGCTTGATTAGCGACAGGCAGTATGGTTTCCGGCACCAACGATCCACAGGGGACCTCCTAGCTTACGTCACTCAATTGTGGAGTAAACCCATCCAGTCTTATGGTGAGGCTCATGTCGTTGCTCTTGACATCACGAAAGAGTTCGATCAGCTGTGGCACGCTGCCCTCTTAAGCAAACTTCCATCCTATGGCCTCCCAGAAAAGCTTTGCAGATGGGTGGCTGACTTTATCTCTGGCCGCAAGATATCCGTCGTAATTGACGGGTTCTCCTCTTCCTCTTCATCCCACAACATCAACGCGGGTGTTCCCCAGGGATCGGTCTTGGCTCCGACACTGTTTCTCTTACATATCAACGACCTCTTTTCCTGCACGATCAACCCAATTCACAGCTTCGCTGATGATAGCACTCTACATGCAGGAATTCAGAGTGACAAGCCGATCTCTGCCGCTGAGTTGGAAAAAAGAAGACTAGCGATGACTTCCTCTCTGTCAAGAGACCTGGAGGCTATCACTGCTTGGGGATGCAACAATCTTGTACAGTTCAATGCTTCCAAAACGCAGTACTGTACTCTGACGAACAAAAAGCGTCCCTGCGCTCACCCGGTTTCGATGGATGGTCGAGTTCTGCCAAAGAGCCATTCATTTCGGCTGGTCGGAGTCCAGATCACCGAGGACCTGATCTGGCACGAACACATCTCGTCAATAGCTGCAGCTGCTCGAAAAAAGCTAGGCTATTTGTTTAGGGCTAAGAAGTACTTTTCTCCGCACGACCTTCTCACTCTACACAAGGCCCAGATAAGGCCTAGCCTCTAGTATTGCTCGCACGTTTGTGGTGCTGCCGCCCCGACTACATTATCCATGCTCGATGCTGTCCAGAGGAGGGCGGTCCGACTGATCGATGACTCTTCTCTAACAGACAGTCTCGGGACTCGTTCGCATCGGCGGGCTGTCGGCGATCTGGCTCTTTTCTACCGTTACACCAACGGGCTTTGCTCCTCAGAGCTCTCTTCCATGATGCCGACGCGTGATGTGCCTGCCAGACAGACCCGCCTAACTTTGGCGTCCCATCCTAACCGTGTCGAACTTCGTACATCCAGAACCGGCCGATACGACCGCTCCTTTGTCCCGAGGCTGTCGAGATTGTGGAACAATCTACAAGAGGAAGCTTTTCCCAGTCATCATAGCAGCCGCGGTGTTCCGGCATTTAGGCTTCTGCCTGCGTGGCTGCTTCGATAGATAAAAAAAGGTAAACAACTACGTATGTTTATTAGAATTCAAGAATTTTTTACATATCCACGAACAACATGTGATAGTTTTTCTGTTAAGCTTTTGTGGTGGCTGCGAGTATTGTTTGCTGATAAAGAAGCATTCAGTTTTCATCATTTACCGTGTCAGTTAAATGTTAAATTTCGTGTATCTTATTGAGAAGCCTGTTTGTGATCCGGATATCCCAGATAAGTGACCACAGAGCGACAAGACCGCCGGTTAAGACTTATGGCTCTGAAAGATGGACTCAGTAGTGCTCGAGCCATCGCTAGTCAGTGATTTGAAGAGCATGGAAGGATGGTTGGTATGCGTACGGAATATCGCCGAATACGACAG